CTGTTTTTCACGGCCAAGGATAAGTTCAGCGTTCCGGAGCATGTCCGCACTCAGAAGATGTCCAAATTTGCGAAGAAATTCCTGGTTTGGCAAGCCATCTGCACGTGCGGGAAGCGGAGTGCACCTTTCGTGACCCAGGACACGATGAACGGACAGGTGTACATAAAAGAGTGCCTCCAGAAGCGGCTGCTTCCTCTCCTGAAGGCCCACAACGTCCCAACAATCTTCTGGCCGGATTTGGCCTCATGCCCTTACTCCAAGGACGTGCTGAAGTGGTATGTGGACAATAAGGTCAATTTCGTGCCGAAAATGTTCAACCCTCCCAACACTCCGGAGCTCCGCCCCATCGAGAAGTACTGGGCGATTATGAAGCAGCACCTTCTTAAACGACCTAAGGTAGTGAAGACAGTCGAGGAACTGAAGAAAGTATAGGTTTACATGCAAAAAACGGTTGATTCACAGGTTGTGCAGAATCTCATGGCCGGGGTTAAGGCCAAGGTGCGGGCATTTGCGTATGGACTGTAAATAAAATACGAGTAAAATGGTAAAATGAAGTTTAATAGTTATTTCTCAATCCCTGAAAATTTGATGGCAATCGGATGAAAACTCGAATTTTGCGAATCAATTTTGTGTGTGGCAATTTCATCGTGGACACCCTTTATCTGTGCCGAAAGCTAGGTCAAGCGTTGTGCTGAACGTGCCGAAGTGTGGCAATCAAGCTATCAGTCTCAGTAATCCATGAGTTTGGCAACCTTGCACTTATCACTTTTGAGATTGTGTGTTTACATTTTCAAGTCAAGGACGGAAAAAAGTCGTGAAAATATTCAACGAGCTGGTTGCCGGTCATCCGCTTCCTAGGAAGTGGCACTCGAAGATTAGCCCCTCCGCGATAAGGAGAAGGGTGACTGATGTTCTGATGACAGTTCTCTACCGTGCGTCATTCTGGCAGACGTTTGCCAAAACCAAGAACCCAACCGGCAAGTGAAACATGAATCTTGTCTGCAATATTGTCATGCTACTCAGGCAATGCTACAATCTGAAAAATATGAAGGACTCGACTTAAAATACCCACCGGCGGAAGTAATAGCAGAAATAGACCTGCAGTAGCTTCCCAGTGTCAGTGGTGGTTAGGTACTAAATTCGTCTGCCTCCTCTCAAACTACTTCGTCCGTGGTTTATCCAAATGTCGGTCCAGAATCTCGATACTGGTTCCAGTCGTTTGATGATTATCTCCTCCTTGTATCTGCCTGTTGTTCCATCATATTTTTTATCTTTGGTCATTCCGGAATCGCATATTATTCTCCCTGAAACTACTGCCGGGTCCGATTGCGTTCATTAAGACCGCGAATCATATTGGCTCAGTTACATTCACAATTCTGTTAGCAGCATCTTTCTTAATGTTGCTGTTGCCATCGGTGATACGAACAGTTGCGAAAGAGCGTTGAGAGGCCTCCACAGTCAATCAAATTCGAGTTCAGTCACCATCAATCGTACCGGAGTGTTCTGCGGGAGAAACAGCTGCGATTGCAGATACATCTGAAGAATGTTAGGAGCGTTCGGCACCGGGGTGTTGTTGACACCGTACATTATCGCTGCAATGCTCCTTACCCATACAATTGACTCTCGGTCCGGATCCTATGGCCATCGAGTTTATACTTAATTCTAGTTAATTCTGGTCTTTTCTCCGGGGCGTGGTGACTCTCACTAGTTCGTTTGAACTTCCCTGAAACTATGGATATCTCTCAAAAGCCATGAGGACTTTATGTAGAGGTACATCCCCCAGAAGGCATAAGGACAAAGAGAATCTCGTCAATTATACAATCTCTTATTATGATTGTGGACAATTTCGCTGGAAAATGGCACTAACAAAAAATTCCTTTCCCCCCTTGCTTTGAAGTAAACGAAGAAGTAAACCTTAGCAACGATTGGCAAAATGTCAACACAAAACAGTGATGCCAGTTTATATTATATTTTGTGTTTCGGCACAATGTGCAGAGTTGATTAGCCCTTGGTGTGGCGTGTACTGAAAAAGTAAAGAGAAATCATTTAGATCGATCGCAAGCCACAAAGCAAGCGTCGGGCGGATACTGTCAACCGTAAACTGCGGAAAAATGTCATCAGGACCATCAAGTCTAAACCCAACATCTCGGCCCGCGATTTGACCACAAGTTCGGTGCCGCATGCAGTACCGTGCAACGAACTGCCTGCAGACAACCAAATAGTGCCGGAAAGCCGTATGATCAGTTGTTGACCAAATTCACGGATAAGTCATTCAATACTGAGCATTACAGAGGACGGAATGTCTCCAAAAGCGAATACTGCCATTCATCCGATCGCAACGTCATTTATATAAGGTCTGGGCCAAAGGGATTATTGGTGTTAGTGAAATGTGCAAATGTTTAGTGATGTTCGTATTGCATTGCAATGTTTGTCTTTTTACACGAAACAGCTGTTAGCAGTGCCGTAATTCTATATGAGTGCTCAGCAAAGATTACATTATTTTTGCTTCTAACACCAGCAAGCCTGTTGGCCCAGAGCTTATATAAACGGCATTGATCCGATCCCACAAACAACCTGTCATGCCAGGTCTTGCGGGCTGTCATTACAGATAGATAGAGCTGGAATTAGGGCGTAACAGCTTTTGTAAATAATGACTTCTACCGATGATTTCTAGGAATTTAAGGCACGCACACGCAGACCAACCTAACCATCGGATAGGGGAGGTCTTTCCTTACCCGATGAGGATGTTGGTTTGCGTGGGCGAGCCTTGAATTTTTAGAAATCATCAAGAGAAGTAATTGTTTACAAAAGCTGTTAGGCCCTAATTCCAGCTCTATCTAGAACTGTGTATGAAACCAACGGGATTCAGTTTATTCCGAAAGAACTCAACCCACCTAATTTTTCCCAGCTCAGACCGATAGAGATATTTTGGGCTATTGTGAAGAGGAAGCTGAAGGTGAATGGCAGTGTCGTCAAAAACATCAATGAATTGAAAGCCAATTGGAATGAGCTTGCCAAAGCAATGGATGAGAATAATGTGCACCGGTTAATGAGCCGTATTCTGGGAAAAGTCCGAAAATTTCTTCGAAATCAGGATGAATATTTTTATTGTATTTTCCCTTTAAAGAGGTGAAACAGGTTTCTACTATGTTAATCTATATCCGAAATATGCGCAATTGTTTATGTACCAATTCTAAATGGGCCACACCTTAGTTTAACGATCTTAAGGGACGTTACATGAACTTTGGGGGCAGTTCTGAGGAAAAATTCGGGAACTTCAGCGAAGTTCCGAGAGCTTTTGGAATATTTCGAGAAATTCGACCGTCAATATCAGAACTCCACTGCATTTGGCATACAAACCTAAGACTATATCTCAGTTTGAATCGTGACTTGATTGTATATTATTGTGCCGGTCCTTGATATCCTACCTATTGAAGCGGTGCATTTAGCAACGTGAAGAGCTGCACAGTAGAAATAATATACGTCTAAGTTAGCCATGAGTTATCTTTTTTCGTCGCTCTTACGGACTAGACGCTATTTTACTTTGCTCCATTCCTCCCAAGAGGTTATGGGCCCAGCAAGTTACCATAGCAACCGATAAACAGTGATTTTTTTCCGCCGTGAAAAATGCCATCCGGCGAGCGTTACCAGAGTCTGGTCGGTGCTTTGCTATACGTTGCGGTGTGCACCAGACCCGATATTGCGATTGCTGCGTCTATTCTGGGACGAAAGGTGAGCCAACCTACCGAAGCGGATTGGTCCGAGGCGAAAAGGACTTTACGGTACCTCAACGCAACAGCTGATTTGAAGTTTGAGCTTGGCGGAACCGACGGTCTCGAAGGATTTGTAGATGCAGACTGGGCTGGTGACAAATCAGATCGAAAATCAAATTCCGGGTTCGTTTTTGAGCTCGGAGGTAGTCCAATCAGCTGGGCCGCTAGGAAACAGCAATGTGTCAGCCTGTCGTCTACAGAAGCTGAGTACGGTGCGCTATCCGAGTCTAGTCAGGAGCTACTTAGGTTGTCGACCACATATGCAGTATTGGTTTGTTTACAATCTTTTGCTGCCAGCTGCTCTAACAATTTCAGTCGAAAGAATTGTCAAAAACTGTTTTGAAACGCTTTTACAAAGCTCCAATCTTCTCTAGTGAGAGCGAGTATTGTCGGCAACCAGTTTTTCTTCGGCAACCGTTCCATTTGAACTGCATGTAAATCTGCTGTTCTATTATCGGCAGCTCGAAATCAGCTACAATTTGTAGTGCGTGTGTTTCATTTCAAGAAAACCTTGCTAGATTGCTTTTTCTCAGTGGTAAAAATATAGTCAAATTGAAGCTGAAAGCATAAATAATCGTTTGCATGCATTCAGCGAAGTGTTTTCGTAAGAAAATCCAGTGAAAATAGTGTTTCAATTTGGGTTGCCGAAAATAGTCTGTCATGTCGCAGCCGTCATTTCCCCTACGTCTAAGTTAGCCATGAGTTATTTGAATAAAATTCGTTCTTCTTTTGTCGCCGCTCTTATGGACTAGACTCTATTTTACTTTGCTCCATTCCTCCCATGACCTATTTGTTCATGAGGACCTTCCAATGCTACTGGCTGTCTCTTAAATTAGCATGAATGGGTCCTTAAATGCCCGTGGCTTAACTTTTATTATGAGTTTTGAACGAAGTCTAGAAGCTCTATGAAGACTTCTGTACTTGTCGTAAACAATTGAGAATAACCCTCCAAATCCTTAAAGCTTTTTCAGAAAGGAGTAAGATTTTCACCCCTATTCTGTATTTCGTTTCGAACGAAATTCTCATACAAAAAAACATTTTTTGGTATGAGAATTTCGTTCGAAACGAAATACAGAATAGGGGTGTTTATTGTCGTCAGAAAACAGGCAGCCTCAATCTTGATACCCAGTCCAGGTTGGACCTGAATCAAAAACAAATTCTACAATACATAACATTTCTCATTCTAATAATGCTAACCCGCTTTCTTCTTTCTCTTGTTTTCCCCAGGAGGATGGTGATAGCAAGGTGCTGAAGCTCCGCTTCGATGTCAGTCAGTACGCTCCAGAGGAAATCGTCGTCAAGACCGTGGACAACAAGCTGCTGGTAAGTAGTACCATTTCCCTAAAAATATGCTTCCATTTTACTGATCTGCCAAATTCGTCCCGTAGGTCCATGCCAAGCACCAGGAAAAGTCCGACACCAAGTCCGTCTACAGGGAGTACAACCGGGAGTTCCTGCTGCCGAAGGGTTGCAATCCGGAGCTGATCAAGTCGTCGCTCAGCAAGGACGGTGTCCTAACGGTGGACGCTCCACTGCCACCGCAGGCCCTGACCGCCGGCGAAACCATGATTCCAATTGCCCATCACTAAATCCTCCTAAAATACTACTGTAGTTCCCCTACTTACTGTTAACCTAACTCGAGGAAGCTGCGCGCGTCAAGTGCACATGTTTTAAAACGCTTTCATCAAGCCATAATAATCACCAGCTATCATCATCGATATCTATACCCAATTAAGCTATGACACCAGTGAGAGAGAGAGAGCGAGCAGGAAAAGATATAAATCAAAACTAGGCGTGCTTTTTTTTATTAGATACTCGTTTCGATATTAGACTTTCATGCAACGATCGCCTTCCGTGAGTGTTGGCGTTTGAAACTATAAATCATCAGACCCAAACAAAGGTTTTCAACTGGAACATCACACTTTGATGGATCGCGGTAGCGGAGTCAGCCCATACCTACTCATTCATATTTTTTTTTTGATAAAAGAAGATATTGCTACTTGTGATAGCCGGAAAACATAATAAGCTAGCGACGCGCACACGACTACTTACCAGTTTTCACCCAACTTAAAACCATCAACCAACGAACAACACTTAAGTGTAAGTACTACAACTACTACTACCACTACTCGGAATCAGTAACAGTGAAAAGTGTGGCCTTTACTCGTATTGGATTCTATTTTCTGGGATATTTTTATTTCATCTTACAACATAACCCTTTTCTACAAACAACAAGACAACAGTCCAATTCAGGTTCAGGAAAGTTTTACACGCATGGGCAAACAAAACAAAAAATCAAAATACAATAACAATTTAGTACCATAGAGGCAGCTATGATTTTGGGCAGCGTAATATGGCTTTCGAAGAATAACAGCAGGAGGAAGAAGGAAAAAAAAAATCAAGACGAGTCGACCTACAACAATCGTTTGTGTATTTGTGCTTTATTTATTTTATCTAACGTAAAATCTGAGAACAGTTTAAGGACATTAAATCAGGACTTATAGATCAAGTGAGTGTGTGTGTGTATGTGGGTGGTATTTTGCTAGGAAAGAAATCCCTTAAATGCTAGCTTATTTTACTCGATTGTTTCACAATTCGACTAGGTTTCAACATTGTCTTTATTTATAATTCAACAGTTTTATCAATAAGTTAAATTCGTCAGCTTGTAGATCAAGTTTTAAGTTGTCTTAAACTTCCTTCAGTGGAGCCCAGGTGAAATCCGCCTGGTAGGTGTAGTAGCACAACCAGTACATCACATTGAACAGGGTGAACGAAGCCGGAAACAGCACCCTAGCTGCCTGGTCGATCAGCGATACACTGTTGATGTGACGGCTGGCACCACCTGTCGGGAGATATTTTGTTTTTCGTTAGGAGAGTGCAACTACTTTCGGAAATGTTTGGCTTTATTATTGTGATAAATGACACACTATTAGACACAGCCACTTACCCCTGCCGGTCGCCTCGCGTTGTCTCCTCCGACGGAACTTATCGTCGCCCAGGAAGCACAGCCAAAGCTGCTTCCAGCGGGGTTCCTTCGGCGGCTCGGTTTGCGTCGTCCGTTCCATCGTGGACAGGTGCGACGTTGTCGGTTTGAACATATGCTGCGGATCGTTGTAGATCGGACAGATCAATGAACTGCGCCTCCTCGCCGCAATCAACCGCTGCGGTGAATCATGGATCACGGCCGGCTGCGGCCGTATTCCTCCACCTCCAGCAGTGCCGCCTCCGATGTTCAACCCTATCTCGACTACATTGTCGATGTCTTCCCATTCGTCTTCGTCCAGCGGGATCTCGCCACTGCCGACCTTGAAGCAGAGTACGCAATGTGATTAATCTGTTAAATATAGAAATAATGCAAGCAGATGCGATAAGCGATCAACTATCCCTAGCCGTACGGGATGCGTTTGTGCATATTAAGGGAACTCGCACAGAGTTTCTACGTCAGTTGCAAGATGAAGCTTCTCGCAGTAGTTACGGTCGTGATTGGAATTTACTTTCCATTGGTTTGCACGGGAACAGTGGTGAATATCTTCAACCTGCTTCCCACAGAGACATTTTTAACAAAGTGACACTATTTTCTCAGCAACCATTTCGGCAGCGGAATAACAACGGCATCATCGGAACGGACTGCTCTGGCAAAGGACAATGTCTGTGGCCCTTCGTGGATTATGGAGCTGTGGTGACACCTTTCACGCCAACTCTCAAGCCAATGGTTCGGAAGATTATTGTTCCACCGGTAGAGGTCACCACTGTTGGGAAACGTTTCAGCAAAATTCGATCGAGGAAGGTTGCTCCGCGGACGAAATCTAGCAACGATTAGGTCTAACCATCAAATTTTAGAGAAGAAGCTATTGTAGAGGCTCAAAGCGGAATGTGGGCCTAGATAGTGGTCACAATTGACATCAAGGTGTCTAATCGAAGTCGATTTGATTCCTAACTAGGTTTCTATCCGATAAGTAGGTTTACTCAGAGAGAAATTTTCCGTTCGGGGCTTGAACTGTCAAAAGCTAGGTCATAAGATTATAGCGAATTCGTTTATTATCGGGGTTAACACCAGTTCCAACCCAGTGCGAAACCGAACTTTTTGTCAGTGTGAACCTCAACCTGAACTAGGTTTTAAAAACAAACGAGCAGACTGACGTTTGTCAGAAAACAAGCAGACCCAATCTTGATACCCGATCCAGGTTGGAACTGAATAATAAACGAATTCGCTATTAGATGATGAAATATATTGGACAGTAGGTTACATAGGAACCTTGTTTTATGTGTAGGGAAAATATTTTCGGAGATTTATTGTGGTTTCTAGTCTTCTTCCGGAAGACTTCCCAGACTTCTTCTGTCGGAAGACTTCCCAGACTTCTTCTGTCGGAAGACTTCCCAGACTTCTTCTGTCGGAATACTTTGTAGCGGACACTGGCCGATCTCTTGTAGGCATGCGGCTTTAGCGCCGCTCCGGTAAAGGAGACCGCATGCCAATTTGAGTTTGCCCCGGATGAGACTGCCTCAGGGCGAGTCCAAGTATAAATCTTCCTAAAAAGAAGAGATCGAGCCCGCTTGACTACCACCGAAATTGATCGGGTAGAAACCCCTATCGCGAAGTAGCATAATCTATCACATCAACGAAATATTTTTTCGAGGCTCTGAACCATTTGGTGGATTTTTTTAACTTTTGGTTAAAATTTGACTGATGGAAAGTTATCGATTAACCCTGCTATCCGAGCGTGGTTATTTCTGACAGACAAGAAGTTAAATTTTAACAACCGTGGCTGAGTTCTTCTCGAAAACCGGTCGATCGACAACACAGGGTTTTTCGAACATACAGAATAACTTTCGAAATGTCACTTTTAACCACGAGTTAAATTTAACCAGCTGGGTGGCATGCCGCCATGTTATTGAAACCAACATCTGAAACGTCACAATTCCAGTGTGAACTGCAAAAATGGCGTGACTGAATTGTCTTATTTTTATCAAATGAAATTATTTTCCCTTTTATGCCATATAAATGGTTGACTTCGTGGTAGAAAATCAGAAAATAATATTTTATGAGTCCTAAGTTTATTTTTCACAAAATGTAAGCAAAAATATTAAGAATATCCATAATATCAGTCACGCCTTTTCTGAAATTCTGGCTTGAATCTTCTATTTGTTTACAAATTATGAGCTGTCCGCAGCGATGTTAGCTCTTTTCAAGGCAAGGCAAACAAGATAGGGATGCCACCTAGCTGAATTTAACTTGGCAAATGGTTCAGAGCCTATAAAGCTCCCGGTAAGAGAGCACACAAACCTAAAACGACGCTACACGTCAAGTTCTCCTCTTCGGTAGTTCCACCTGCTTTCCGCCAGAGGCGCAGCCACAGCAAAAGAGATTAGCAACATAAAAGTCAAATTCTGACCACGCGGAAGACATCAACAAAATTACGAAACGGACCCGAAACAATGTGAAGACACTTTCTTCCTCTCATTCCACTCAATAATAGTATTTTACGTAATCAAATCAAACATTTCGACAGTGAACATGCATAAGGGCGTATACGCGATGATCGATTCTCTTCATCGATTTTCTCCTTGTATTGCTACAGCTAAGTGAAACAATTTTCTAGAATTTGTTCAATGCAGAGTTGTAACAGGTTGTATATGCTATCAAAAGCAACAGCAAACGAACCGAGAAACGTTAATTCTAGCGAGTTATTAACAAAAAAGAAAACCGACGAAGAGAATCGATCATCGCGTTTATGCCCTTAAGCATGCTCACTGTCGATTTTTTGAAGGAACGAAAAAACCGTAAGTTTGTATTCAAAATAAAGCATGCCTTTGCGAATTTGTGTATATTCTACTCCTTTTTTTTTAACTAGTTCGTTTATTTGGAAGGCTCAATCGCGTTAGCTTTACGGAGCCGATAGTTCATTGTTCTTTGTTTGTAACAAAATTCACTTAATTCTATGTCTAGTAGGAGTTGGGCCGAATACTCGCGGTATACTCGAGGTTAGAGAGGTACATTGTCGAAGGATAGGATCAGTGGAGGAGCTTGTGGGTAAGGTTTCGTTGTCTCATCAGAGCGTTGTCGCCAGTATGAATGGTAGTGCGGTTCTAGTTTCGTCTGGAGTTCGACCGGCTATGGTGACCAGTGGGCGACGATGAGACTCATCGAGACGGGGGGACAAGACAAACAAAAACTAATAAAGAGAGACAAAAGACAGAGGAATTAAATTCTTATACTAGACATTTGAAGAAACACATAAACCGACTGCATATAGCAGATATCGCGAGTTCTCAACACGTCTCTAATAGGAACATAGGGTTGTCTTCCTTGGGCCTCAAGGGTATTCAAAAGTCGCTCTCTGGCGGCGTAATTATCCGTACATTGCCAAACTGCGTGATCGATGTCATCGTAACCGTTTCCACACCGACAGATGTTGCTGTCCACGAGGTTTATTCTATTGAGATGAGCATCTAGCGAGTAGTGGTTGGACATAAGGTGAATGAAACCACCGTCCAAGATTTCCAGTGTCCGAATCGTTTTGCCAACTCGAAAGGGTACTCTGATGCACTAAATGGTAAAATTCATCATGTGAAATTTGCCTGTCATAAAATTCGCCGTACTGCGCGCCCACCTTTGCGAGAGAGTCCGCTTTCTCATTGCCTGGGATTGAGCAATAGACGAGTGCACGGATGGATTTAAGTTCACTCACTCGACAAAAAGTGACACAACAGCGGGGCCCTGTTTACTAAAAATGAACACATGTGTTCATTTTTAGTAAACAGGGCCCCGCTGTTGTGTCACTTTTTGTCGAGTGAGTGAACTTAAATCCATCCGTGCAGTCGTCTATGTGAGGGGACCCATACAAAGGTATCACATATGATCTTTCGACCAGCACATTCATCTGCTCCCTTGCCTTTGAAAGGAAATAAGATGAGTGCCTACCTTCAGGGTTATTCTGCGTGGCGAATAAGGTGAGACGACAATTGTCACCTCGCAGTCACATGACTCTTCTCACTCTATTCCGACAGTCGACTCGGGTGACGTGAGAGGTTCATTCTTAGGTGAGTTGCAAAGTGACTCGGTGTTCATTCGCCGAAATGTCAGTTTGCTTTGTTTTTCGAAAAGGGCCTACACAGTTTTTGTAGGTTCATTTATCAGTTTAATCGCAGGTTTTTATTTATTACTATAAACATGCGTTTCGAGTCGTATTCCATGTCAAACAAGGTAGATTAAAATATTTTAATTTTTTCTTAAACATAATCCGCGTTCGGTCTGTGCTAGACCCTTTCAGGTTTTGCTGTTTGTTGTTTTCGATTGCGACCGAAGATTTTTTTCCGATCGTGTTTTTTTTTTAATTATTAATACACTGGAACCTCCATTTACGAACCAGACCGGCGCGGCGGTTCGTAAATCGAACCAGACGTAACAAAAACTCATTACGTGGTGCCATATATCGACCGGAAATCCAAGCCCGGCGCCATTTTGATATCCAAGATGGCGGCTTCCGGTTAAATAAAAACTGGGATATTCTGTCAAATACACCGCCTTATGAGTATTTCAGGAATCTTGGTGACGTGTTGGGACCGGAAATCGATGTTTCACGCCTTTTTTGAAATTCCAGTTACAGAAAAATTAAAAAAAAAACTATCAAATAACCCTCAATATGAGTATTTTTGCTTGTGGTGATGTGTAGAGACATTTTGAATTCAATATGGTGGTTTCTGTTCGAGCAAAACTTGGGAATTGGGAGGGGTAAATATGGGTATTTTTGGAATCGGAGTGACGTGTAAGGACGGAAAACCTATCCGTATGTTTCTATTTTTCTGTATTCGGAAGCCACCAAATTGGATTTCAAAAAGGCGTCAGACATTGCTTTCCGGGCTCTACACGTCACCTCGATTCCAAAAATACCCATATTGTGGTGTATTTGACAGTGTTTCCAAATTTTTCTTCTACCTGAACCCACCATCATGGATTTCAACATAGCCTCAGACATGAATTTCCGGTCTCTACACATCAACACAATTCTAAAAATAATCATATTGAGGGATATTTGACAATATTTTTATATTTTCTTCTACCTGGAAACTGCCATTTGGATTTCAAAAAGGCGTACGATATGGATTTACGGACTCTACACGTCACCCCGATTCCAAAAATGCCCATATTATAGAGTATTTGACAGAATTTTCAGGGTTTTCTCCAACCGGAAGCTGCCATCTTGAATTTCAAAACGGACTCAGACATCGATTTCCGGTTCTCACACGTCTGCCCAACTCCAAAATACCTATATAGTGGGGTATTTGACAGAATTTCCAAGTTTTATAGTTCACCAACCGGAATGGCGGCCCATTTTGGATGTCAGAAAGACATCAGACATGGTTTTCCGGTCCCTACACGTCACCCGGATTCCAAAAATACCCACATTGAGGGGTATTTAACAGAATTTACAAGTTTTTATCCAACCGGAAGCCGCCATATTGAATTTCAGAGAGACGTCAGACATGGTTTTTCGGTCCCCACATGTCACCCCGACCATAAAAATACTAATGATGTGGGTAATTTGGCAGTATTTCCCAGTTTTTCTCTAGCCGGAAGCCGCCATATTGAATTCAAAATGGTCTCATACATGGGTTTCAGGGCCTACATGTCACCCAGATTTTCAAAATACCCATATTGAGGGCTTTTTGGCAGAATTTCCAATTTTTTCTCTAACCGAAGGCTGCCATATTGAATTCAAAATGGCGTCAGACATGGGTTTCCGGTCCCTACGCGTCACCCCAATTCCAAAAATACAAATATTGAGGGATATCTGACAGAATTTTCAAGTTTTTTCTCCAACCGGAAGCCACCATCTTGAAATTTCAAATGGCCTCAATATCGATTTCTTGTCCCTACACGTCACCCCAACTCCAAAAACACCAGATTTGTGTAGAAACACTGGAATAAGAGACCAGTGGAGACACTGTTATGATTCCAATCGAACTGTCAAAAGCGGCTCCAATCTGCAATGTTTACAAATGGTTTGCTTCAATTAGGGAGGAGTATTAAAATCGTTTAACAATCACTCATGAACTCGCTCGTCAGTGCATTGGCGAAATCACCCGCAAGCAGTTACAAATGCAAGTGATGCCAGGATTGCTTTGATGTTTATCTTGTTGCCAAATTAATATTTTTTTTTCTCCACTGGTCTCTTATTCCAGTGTTTCTAGTTTTGTGGGGTATTTGGCAAAATTTCTAAGTTTTTCACTAGCCGGAAGCCGCCATCTTCAATTCAAAATAGCGTCAGACATGGGTTTCCGGTCACTACACGTCACCCCAATTCCAAAAATACCCATATTGAGGGATATTTGACAGAATTTTCAAGTTTTTCTCCAACCGGAAGCCACCATCTTGAATTTAAAAATGGCCTCAGACATGGGTTTCCGATCCCTACACGTCACTTCGATTCCAAAAATACCCATATTGAGGAAGCCGAAGAAACAAAAAAAAATTGATTGAAACAAATTTAGAAGTAATAAATTACCGAAAACCGCAACCATCGCTTATATAACTCTAAGGTTTTCCATCCAGTCGACTGCAGCGGAGGTTACGACTCTTATCACTTAAAATCGTCACTTCAGTACGACTTTTGTCACCGAAATACGACTGTGAGAATAAGGTGAGAGTTCCCCGGGTTCATCCCAAGTGACTTTTCTCACCTCACTCGCCAGCTGGAATCGGGTGACACGAGTGACTCGAGTCACCTCACTTCATTCGCCACGCAGAATAATCCTGTATAATTCTACCTTGTCCTACTTGTGTGCGTACTGTTTTTCTATCTACCTCCTATATTGTGCTGTGTTCTTGTGCTTTAACTCGGTGTCTACCATTCACTTTCCGGAAGACTACCCAGTATTCTTCCGGAAGACTTCACCGGAAGACTACCCAGTCTTCTGCTGGAAGACCACCCAGTCTTCTGCTGGAAAAGACCTTCCAGTCCTCTGCCAGAAGACTTCCAAGTCTCCTTCCGGAAGACTTCCCAGTCCTCTGCCAGAGGACTTCCAAGTCTCCTTCCGGAAGACTTCCCAGTCCTCTGCCAGAAGACTTCCAAGTCTCCTTTCGGAAGACTTCCCAGTCCTCTGCCAGAAGACTTCCAAGTCTCCTTCCGGAACACTTCCCAGTCTTCAGCCGGGAGACTTCCAAGCCTCCTTCCGGAAGACTTCCCAGTCTTCTCCCGGAAGACTTCCCAGTCTTCTCCCGGAAGACTTCCCAGTCTTCTCCCGGAAGACTTCCAAGCCCCCTTCCGGAACACTTCCCAGTCTCCGTCCGGAACACTTCCCATTCTCCTTCCGGAAGACTTCCCCGCCCTTTACCAGAAGACTTCCCAGACGAAAGACTTAAACAGAACCAGTCACACGACCCCCGCCGACCTACCTTCGTAAAGTAGTGCACCCCGGCAAACTCCAGCAGCGTAGCGATGCAGTAGATAAAGTTCATCAGCAGAAACCAGTCCAGTGCGGTAGCGTACCGCACCTTCGGCAGATCCGTCCTCGAGTCCAAACTGATCGTAGACAGCGTCAGCACGGTGGTAATGCCCAATCCGACCCGGTCGCTGGTCGCCTCCCGATGGATCCAGAACGAAACCCACGACAGGACCACGATCAGAATACACGGGACGTACACCTGGATCAGGAAGTATCCGGTGTGGCGCTGGAGATTGAACGACACGTGAAGCACGGAGAATTCGCCTTCCCGCCGGGCGAAGGTGTAGTTCTTCTGGTGGAAGCTCATCAGATCGAACTGGCTCAACGTCATACCGGGTACGAAGTTCACGGAGTCGTCAGTCTGCCACTGGTAGATCAGTTGCTGACGCGAGTAGGCGTAGCTTCCCAGAACCAGCGGGCAGGACTGGCGATCCATCGGAAAACTGCGCAGTTGCATCAGGCAGGATGCTTTGATGGTCAGCCGCATGGAGTAGAGGATTTCCCCATCCTGGCTTAGGCGGAGCAGTTTGTTCGGAACGGTGATCGTGTGCACGTGGGAGTGTTTGCCGTTGTAGAAGTAGGTATCCGGACGCCAGATCCGTTCCACCATCTTGATGCTCAGCGAAAGGCTGTTGATGGGACCGTGGAAGCTCAGTCGTTTATCACGCCAGTACTGTCGGAAGTAGCAGTCCATTGAATAGTCCATGTCCAGTTCCGAGACCGGTCCCATGCTTCGAATCAGAATGTTGGTCTTGACAATCGTTGGAATTCCTGAAATGGATTGCTGTTGGTGCATTGTAGAATTTATCAATATTTTTCGAACTCACCCTGTCCATGCGTCGGCATCTGCGAATTTTCGTAGCTCTTCAGCAAGTTCTCCAGAATCAAGGTTATGTTCTTGCTGAGCTTATCGTCGGCAGCACTGCGCTTCTTGACCTTTCGATAGGCAGCGGCGGCGGCGGCTTCTTCATAGGACGAGCCATTGGGCGATTTCATCGCAGAAGAAGGCCGTGTTCCCGTTTTGAACAGTTGATGCTTATCGGCCATGAAGCTGTCGATTTCCTCCGTAGGTAGGCTTCGCCGACGAGGGACCGCATTGTAGATATAGTAACGTTGGAATTTCTGCTGCTGTGGAGGCTGTTGTGTCTGATGGGATGGTGGTGGTGGTGGTAGTTGTTGTTGTTGCTGTTGTTGTTCTTGTGTCTTATCTAGTAGGCCAGCTGCGGCGCTTGGCATTGAGATGTGACGTAGCCGCCGCAGTTCGAGGGGTAAGGGTCGGTTGCCCCGCTGGGTGGCATCATCGTAGTCGGCCTTGTAGACGTAGGTGGAAGAGTTGCGCTGTTTGCGGCTGTGAGGTGAACTATTCATTCTGAAACAAAAGGGGAAAAAAGGTGAGAAATTTGTGATTTTTCCGCAGAAGAAAATTACCGTGGAATGTAATAAAAATATTTGTGCTTTCGCAGGTGCCCGATGGAAACGTTTGCCGCAATCAGGAGGCCATTCTCGAGGGTGTTGTGCGGCTGCACGTGGCCTGCCCTCACCGAGTAGCACGAGACGAACGTGATTAATCTGTTGGGAGTTGGAAAACAAAAAGAAGAACGCGATTTAATTCAATTTCTCTTCCGATGGATGGATGCTTCTCGCGATGCACATTTCATAAATTGATTTCACAGGTAATCCCTCACCTTCTATCGCTTCCCCGTGTTCTGTGTGGGTGTGTATACTTTTAAGAGTGGACTTATCAAATTTAATTGTTTGTATCGCAAGTAGTTTAATCCCTTTGAAATTGTTTCATCCGAACTGGAGCAAAAATTCGTTGGTTATATTTAGTTCTATTTGGGCATTCAACAATTCTGGATCGGATCGTTCTTTTGACATGGCAATTAATTTATATTCTTATTTAAGAAGACACTGTATATTTTCAGTTTCGATCTTACAAGATTGAGTCCGAACTATCAAAAGCAAACAATCGTCGAAAATTTAAAAACTCAAAAGGTCTCCAGCTGAGGCCATGTCTCCGTCGCCGTCGTCGCACGTGGAAGGGGAAATTTGCTGCCACTTCTCGAAGGTACGTGCATGGTGTGTCTTTGTTGTTTTCCATTTCACTTGAGGAGCAGCTCTTTCTGTCCCTGACGTTTAACATTTTTGATTTTTCTCTCTCGCATTTTCCTCTGAATCATGCGGCACAGCAAACACGTGTGTAGTTTTCAAAGTCAAGCAGCTACCTACCTAACCTAATCCGTTTTCGGTCGCTGTTGAACATTTTTCCTATTTCGAAAGCGGGTTCTCACATTCATTTCTTTAATAATACAGATCCTGTTCGTTCTTGAGTAAATAGGCAGTTTGATTGGTAGGGTTTACCCGGGAATGCTATTTCACGGAAAATAAGCTGATTGAGTTGAATAATGGCACACGGGTTTCTGAATTTTGTGAATTCGTTATTTCTTGTCCCCAATTCGTTCTTAAGGGAGAACTGAACAAAACGTTAAACTATTGATATTGCCAGGTTGGAATTTTATTGTAGAATTCTATACTTGAAGAACATAAATAATACATATGTTTGCTGAATCCAAATTTGATTTGACATCAAAGCAGACGCTGAGTAATATGAACACGAGAAAAGAGCATAAAGAGTAGGCGTCGCCTCGTGAGGAGCAGTGTTGTCAGGTCTACAGGTAAACTTACTACGGGCAGCGTCATAGTGAGAGTTTGCTACGCCCAGAGTCGTACCAACAATCAATACGAAACTAACGATTTTAAATTGGCTCACTACTTGACTAGCCTTTTGGTCCCATTAACGTACCCCATTCTAGTCGAAATTCTAGTACTACACAATGTTTGTTTTGATTCGCTATGAAAGTTTGACAGATAAAATGAGGGGTTAGTGGATTTTCCTATGTTTCGAGGGGTGAATCGATTAGCTTGGGACCGAAGAGAGTACCAGAGCTGATCCAACAAGTTGAGCACGTTATTTCGGGACCTTCTAGTCTTAGAGTTACCTCTATGGTTGTACCATAGAGGTAACTCTAAGACTAGAAGGTCCCGAAGAAACGTGCTCAACTTTTTGTCTTAGCTCTGGTGCTCTCTTCGGTCCTAAGATAATCGATTCACCCCTCGAAACATAGGAAAATCCACTAACCCCTCATTTAATCTGTCAAACTTTCATAGCGAATCAAAACAAACATAGTGTAGTACTAGAATTTTGACTAGCATGGGGTACGTTAATCGATTTGCTTGGGACCAATAGGTTAGTCAAGTAGTGAGCCAATTTAAAATCGTTAGCTTCCTATTGATTGTTGGTACGGCAGTGTGAAAATTGTTTATATAGAGAGTAGAAAGCGAGCAAGGACAACTTTTATGAATGAAGGTACAAATCGGTTTGATCATCTCTCTTTACCAAACTCCCCCGTTGGAGAGGGATGGTGAGGGGTATTTCGAAAAAGTCTGACCAGCTATCCCGATCAAAACGTACTCCTCTCCTCGAAAGTAGAACAAATCCGACGCCAATCGCTCGAAGGATAGCTCAGGAACCGCTTTCGTCTCAATTGTACTTTTCTGATTGCAGCGCTGATGCTGTTGACATACGCTGCAGCATTCTACCATATCTTGGATATCTCTGCTCATGTTGACTCAAAATAGCACTTGCTTTGCTCTTCGGATACAGCTTTGGCCTTCTGGATGTCCAATATGAACCGCTTGCAACATTTTCTTCCTCAGCGACTTAGGAATCACAATTTGATTCGATTTGAAAACGAGACCTTCGTACGCTGTCAGTTCATCCGCTAGGGGACGAAAATAATCTACTTTACATTTCATATAACAGATTTCTGTAAAATTTGCTTCAAAATTTCGTTTTTTTTAAAGATAAATTCGAGTCATAATGAATAATAACAAGCACCTGCCGATATTATCCGATTTCATACACTATTCATCGATAGTCTTGGATGTGGTAGAATTATCGAGCATTATGCGGATGTTGTTTTTAGTGTGTTTTGTGATGTGAACTGTCACTTTCTTGAGCACCTGCTTTTGTGATTGTTGAATGTTCAAACTCTGCCCGGAGATTTGGCAACAGAATTGATACCCAAACGTGATGAAACAAAAGACCAAACGATAGGTGTAATCGATGCTGATCTTCACCGGATGCCTGAGATTGGGGAAGTCTGTTGAGGTGGTGATGGAAATCATGAATGACCTTGGAGATATCGGAGAATTCCCATTCGTGACATATGCGTTTCCGCACTTCCTATCATGTGTGTAATGTGCTATACTATCATACTTTTTGGCTCAGCTCTGGTACTCTCTTCGGTCCCAAGCTAATCGATGCACCCCTCGAAACATAGGAAAATCTACGAACCCCTCATTCTATCTGTCAAACTTTCATGGCGCATCAAAACAAACATAGTTTAGAACTAGAATTTTGAGTACTCGGGACCAATAGGTTAGTAAAGCAGTGAGCTAATTTAAAATCGTTAGTTTCCACCAGTTGATACTATAACCTCAAAATTTCAAGAGCACAGCTGCCACAAAACATACAATAATGAAACTGGAATTTCACATTTGATGCAGCAAATAGGGAGTGATGTCACAACTGTGTCCGAAATTTGTGCTCTAGAACACTTGAAGTGATAGGGCATTTAGCCATCATCAGGCACTTTGTGGACTCTTCGAGGAATCACCATAAATGAACATACGATTTTCGAACAGATTTATCAACCAACAATACTAAAGGGGGGATCAGGAAATTTGTATTGACCTTTTCTTGCAAACTGAAGCACGCATACGCAAACCAATTCCCCCGTCGGATAGGAGAGAATTTTCCCTAGCCGACGGTGTTGTTGATCTGGCAAAGGTGAGCTTCGATTTGCGAGAAAAGATCATTGTAAGATTTGATTACAAAAGCTGATCCGCCTTTTTGAATTGTTGGTTGAGATTTCACGACGTTACTTTCTTATAAACAAACGGTTGTCATCGTTACCTCTCATGATACTTATAGAGCTGTGACCCGATATAAGAGATGTGACAGATAAAAATCGATATTATTTGTTTTTAGAGATTTAAGCACGATTATATCGGATGAATGCGATAAAATTGATTTCTCCCACTATAAATCAATAAATCGAGTAATTTTTGGCAAAATTTGAATAAATCTGGGACTTTCGTCCCCCTCGCATTCACCTCTTTGTTCACCCTTTTGTCCACCTCAAATATTCACATGCTTTCTCAGCGATCAAGAGTTCATGAATAATCAACAAAGTATTCTAATACACTAGCAATCCCGCAATCTGATGCTATCGTAATTATCAGCAACGTCAGGGATGTTCACGAAATCCAGCATTCAGCCAGAAAACTTACAACTAATTCAAGGCATCTACCAAAGAATCACTGGTAGAGCGAACCGATCGAAGCAAGTCGGAAAACTACGATCCTGCCCTACCATATTGGAGCTGTGACCAGGATCAGGTTTCCTCCCAGAAATCCCACCATCGCACTACGGAAACTAACGCTACATTCGTCATGTGATCCCATCGGCATTCAAGTGATCGCCATTCTTCTCTCCACTTGTGCTTCACCGCCATCGAGAATTTCGTAACCCGTAAAAGTTCGTGCTTGGATTTATTAAATACAAGGCCTAGTACCATATAAGTAACTCTAAGACAAGAAGGTCCCGAAGAACGAGCTCAACTTTTTGGCTTAGCTCTGGTACTCTCTTCGGTCCCAAGCTAATCGATTCACCCCTCGAAACATAGTTAACCCCTCATTTTATCTGTCAAACTTTCATAGCGAATCAAAACAAACATTGGATAGTACTAGAGTTTCGACTAGAATGGGGTACGTTAATCGTTTGCTTGGGATCAATAGGCTAGTCAAGTAGTGAACCAATTTAAAATCGTTAGTTTCGTATTGATTGTTGCAAATACTACCCTTGAGAAGGTTAGTACCAACAATCAATACAAAACTAACGATTTTAAATTGGCTCACTACCAAGCATGGGAAAAATCGATTCATTTTGCATTTACTACTCACTCACACACATACAACATCAGAAACGAACTGCAGCTTGGGCGAGCCGCACTGATTTCGTTCGTATTCGCATTGCTTCTATTTTCTTCGATAAACGCAGAATTGAGCAAAACAGACAGCTGAGCGTAACATGAATGATTCTGAGTGTAGTAGTGTGGATGATTTCTCTTTTATTATTGTTGCCATGCTGAGCCTTTTACGATTGCATCCTGCTGAGTGAGCTGAATGAGAATTTGGCAGAAAGAATCACTTTTTATTTTCTAGCTTTAAACATACATTGACACATTTAAATGGAGAAAACGGTTATACTGTAACACATTAACATAAGCGTCAAGCAAATACCGTAAAAGTACTGTGGCCAATACAACTGATTTAAATCAGTGAGCCAAAAACTATCTGACTCGGCTATTTAAATCGTTAGCATTCGGATCTTACGCATTCAATCTGGTTCTCCCTCGGTAAAGAAAATTTTTCGGCTGCCTTTCAGTTTATCCTTCTTTCCTTCTACTGCTGTCAGTTCGGGGTCGACCTGCAGAGTCACTTGG